CATCTTCTAGAATTCTCAGTTCCTGTTGGTGATTAATGCCCCTAAGTAATACAGTTCTCAGGGTTAAGTTGCTCACCTTCTCAGTCGCTTTCTTGCTTTTTTTTTTTTAATTTTAAACCTTTTCCATCTGAACTGTATTTGGCATGAAGAAAAAAATAGAATAAAACCTTTCCACTGCCTTCTGCGTCTCATGCTGATTCCTGTTGATTTGAACCTCAGCATCTTCCTCAGACTGGCTTGCACCCTGGACCCCTTTAGTGAGATGTTTGTCTGCTGCAGAAACCTGGCTGTGTGAAACGCAGGGCCACCTGGTTTCAGCTTTACTCTCCAGCTAAGCAACTGCAGCACCACTTTCTGTCGTCAGAGACTCTCCTCATGGTCTTCCCCTTCACCCTGTCTCTAATCAGTCCTCAGTTGAATCTCTCTTGGCCCAGCATTCTGTGGGTTCTCTCCCTGAGTCCTCGGTGACCACATGACTTTCCCTCCTCTGTGTGGCTGATACATACGGTAGCCAGAGCTTTGCAGATGATTTTGCCTCCCTGCATACGGTAGCCAGAGCTTTGCAGATGACTTTCCCTCCCTGCATACGGTAGCCAGAGCTTTGCAGATGCACTTCGTGAGGACAGGCATGGATCAGACTGGGTCTCTCTCATCTCCCATTCTGCTATTGCATACTTCATGCCCTGGCTCCTACTAAATTCATTAACTAATTAATTATTTTTCGGTGTGTGTTTGTGGTATCTATGAGGATATGCATTTGTGTGTATATTCATGGTATGTATGAGGGTACGTGTGTGAGTGTGTGTGTGTGTGTGTGTGTGTGTGTGTGTGTGCATTCCTGAGCATACTAGAGAACAGCTGGACAACTTGGACTGTCAATTCTTAGATGCTATCAACTGTTTTTTAGATAATTAAAACTTTATTGTAAAGAACTTTCATATATAAAACATTACTCAGTGAGATTAGCCAGACCCAAAATTTATACATCTCAATGGACTTGAGTAGATCACTTATTTGATGGGCCTGGATCTTGCCAAGTACACTAGCCTGCCTGGCCAGAAACTTACATATCTGCCTGGGTTATCTATGGAAATCACTAATGGTTGTGAGCCAACATGCAAGTACTAGAAATCCAACCCAGATCCTCTGCAGGAGCAACAAATGCTCTTAACCATTGAGCCATCGCTCCAGCACCAAGGCTACATCTTTAACTCCTGTGAGCTCGTTTAAATCTCCATCTTGCTCGCTGCCTCTCTTGCAAGCTCATTCATATGGTCACTTGGCCACCTGTCGTGTGTGCCTTCTCACATTGGTATTAGACTGAAAACTCCCCAAGGGAATGGCCATTGTTGTCTTCCTCTCCCCATCTCCTTAGCAAATGTTCTCAGTACACATGTTTATGTGCATGTAGTGTTCCTTACTGCTCTCAGTTCCTGGCTTTTAAAGGCAAAGGAACAGGCTTGTGAGCCTAGAATACTTGCCTTCTTGCTATTAAACATTACTGCCAGAGCTTTGCTACCTATAGCTACAGGCATGCTTCATAAAATACTGGACTTGTAGGAAGTCTTACATGATCCACTCTGTTGCTGTCTACAGTACAGACTTGCTCAACCTCCAGTCTTTCCTTCTGTGCATCTGGGGGTGGTGCACTGGGAGGAGGTTACAAAGCCTGTTGTTCTTTTGTACATTGCCTTTGTCTGTGATGTGCTTATTCTTTTGTCCATCACTTCGGACAGTGTGATTCTAGAAGCTTGCAGAACTCAGAAAGTCAATTTGCTTAATACAAGTACTGGCCCCTGCTGCCTTCCTTTGTATGAATTGTATGTTGTCTTCTGCCACACCAGGACTGTTGGAGAAGGGATGAGAGACTGTGGAGGAAGGGGAGAGAGTTGGATGACTCTTCTTCCTGCTTGAGAATAGTCCGAGTGTCCTTGTCACGAAGGTGGCCCTTTCTGTGAAAGCCCTGTTAGAATGAATGACACATTTGTATCCATTGACTATGAGCCCTTGTTGTATGGGTGCTCAACAGAAGCAGGCTGGGAGGCCATTCTGGGAAGCCTGTAACCCTCTCCTCTACCATGGTGTTCTCGGCTCCATGAGACAGCGCCAGTGCACATGTAGCCTGGGCACCGTGAGCTGTGTGTTTCCTGCTCTGCCTGCAGGCAGATCACCACCCAATTCATACACTGGATCATCCCTGTGATGCCTCCTCTCTGAGAAAAGTATGAAGTAGCCACTAATATCAAAACATCCCTCGGGCTTTGTGCGAGGTATATTTTCTCACCATTGTGACAACAATACCAGGCAGAAGCAACTTGAAGGTAAATAGATTCTTTGGTTTGGGTCCATTGTAATCAGGAAGGCCTGGTGCAGAGGTCGTGGCCACTCTGGCAAGGAGCCTCTTGCAGGACTTGATCACATCTGAACAAAAGGACAAGGGAACAGACAGCTCAAGCTAGAGTCAGAGGCAGCTGCTGCTTGCAAGGCTCAGCCCATGTGACTTACTCTGCTGGGGTGGGTATGGTCTGAAAGAGTTCACAACCTCCCCAGACAGTGCCACCGTCTGGAGATGCAGTATTCAGACATAAGCCTGTGGGGCATTCCACATTCAGGCTTGTCAGCAGGCATGCGCTGCTGCCTGAGCATTTACCCACTCCGTAGGGTCAGAAGAATGGAAGAAAAGTTAATAACCCTAGCCCTAATAGTCCGACACTTTTCAGAAATGGTTGAGAGATAAGACTCTTAATTTGACACACCATTGGTTAGCTTTAAAAACTGCCAAAAATGTTCGTCTTCCAAGATTTTAATGATGGTGTTGGCGAGAGTGTTGTGGCCATCATATGATCACTTACACCGTTCAGGGCATTACTGGGCATTATCACAAACTCAGAGTGTCACCTCTCACCCACTTATTAATGAGATATCTGGAGAGTCTCCAGGGCACAGAAGCATACCCAGTTTCTTTTTAATAGTGATTAATTGTGCTATTTGACAATTCCATAATGCATACAGCACGTTCTACTTCCTCTCCCTGTCCTCTCTTACCTCTCTCTCTCACTGCACCACCCTTCCCCTACCCAACAGCACGTGACTTGGCTTTGTGACCCGTTTAGATAAGCAGGGCCACCCATGTGACAGTTGAGTTGATGGCATCCAGTTTCTTAACAGTTCACCATTATCTTCTTGAATCAGAGCCATAGCTTCAGCTCCCAGGACCCGAGTCCGTTGGATTTATCTCTTTCAATGTGCAGAAAAACTCCCCCCCCCACCTCTTCTTTTTCTCTTGGTGTAAATATGTATGTGTTGCATGTATGTGTGTGTGTATATACATACATATGTGTGTGTGTAGTTGTATGTGTGTGTGGAATGTGTTTATGCATGTGTGTGTGGAGTGTGTATGTGAGTGTGTGTGTGAAGTTGAGAGGTTAATCCTGAGTGTCTTACTATATTATTATTATTATATTATTACTGACAGAGTAGCTCTCTGAACTTAGAGCTCATCAATTAATTAGGTTAGACGTGCTGGTCAGCAAGCCCCAGGGATCCTCATGTCTCTACCCTCCCAGAGACAGAATTTTAAGGAATCGCCACCATGACCAGCCTTTTCGTTTGATTGCTGTGAACTTGAACTCAGGTCCTCTTGCTTACATACAGACACTTTACCGACTGGGTCATCTTCCCCTGCAACTCCTTGTACATAAAGAACAACTGGCCTAGGTATCCAGTGTCTATGTAAGTCAGGCTTTGCCAATCAAAAGAGCCCTGTTCTTCTCCAAATATTTCTTCAGGTGTTCATCTTTTAAAAGTTCTGGGAAGGGAGATGAGAAAGAATAAGCAACCTCTGATAGAAGGCTAGTTGATTATGACTGGTACTGCCTTTGCAGGCAGCCCTGGGAAGCTTGGGGGAGTGTCATTGACAGTGTGGCTTCCAGTAAATCTTCACTATGATGTCACCAGGGTGTCGACTACTTGGCTCTTATGCTCTCTGAATGGCAGGGTCCTAGAGTCAGAAGGAAATGGGGAGATTAGAGGGTCCAGATGACATTCTCTGGTTCCAAGCATAGCGTAGGCTGCCTTCCGGGAGGTCAGTGTGCACTCCATGTGCACTCTGTCGGAGTAGCCAGGGACACAGCAGGGCCAGTCTACTAAATGTCCCTGCTCTGTTGGTTATCCTTCTCATTGCTGCAGAACCTGAGACAGAAGCAACTCAAGGAAGGGAGGCTTGTTTTGACTCACAGTTATGATGTTGGAAGCATGGAGTGGGAGCCTTGAGGGAGCTGGTCTCGCTGCACCCGCGGTCAGGAAGCAGAGAGAGGTGTTCGCTGGGGTTTGCTTGCCTCCCCCTTTTCATTCAGTTGAACGACCCAGCCTGTGAGATGGGGCTTTCACATTCAGGGTGGATCATCTCTTCAGTTAAATCTCTCTGGACACACCCTCGTAGACACACTGAGTTGTGTTTCCCTGACAACTCTAAATGTAACCAAGTTGACTGTCAATATGGGTCATCTCATTGCCTGTGCTCCTCTTTGTTCTGTATAATCTAGGGGCACGTCAAATGTCTTTCACTGTTTGAATAGACAGAAATGAATATTAAAACAAATATTTAAAGTGAGCATTAAAATGAAATGATGAATATTAAAAACACGACCATTGTGTGGCCTGGGAATACAGCTCAGTAATGGAACGCCTGCCTTCTGGGAAGCCTGAACTTCAATTCCCAATACCACACACGCAAAGGTTGCTAAAGTGGCCTTTCCCCACCTCTCTCATGGAGGGAAACCAGTGCCCAGAAAGCAGGGCAGAAACTCAGCAGTTAGGCTTGGGATTGCAGTCTCATAGGTCTGAAGACAAACTATTGCCCATGCCTGGCTGTTATGTTCTGTATTTAATCTGTAATAGGAATACAACACCTCGTTAACTGAAAACTGTGTTCTCTTGCTTGCCATTTCCAATCTCAAAACTGCCCTCTGAGGGGGTATAATTCTCCGTCCATTTTACAGATGTGGAAATGGAGGCCCAGAAAGATGCGCCCATCCACCTAAGCTGTAATAGGACCATCCATCCACTGAAACGCTGTAACGTATTGCGAATTTGTCTTTTCGCCTTTCTATCCTTTGTACTTTATTCTTTCACTGCTTACTTTCTACATAAGTCTGCAATAGAAATCTGTGGTCCTGGGGCTGGAGAGCTGGCTTAGCCGGCCAGGAGCACACGCTGCTCTTGCAGAGGACCTGAATTCTCAGCACCCACATTAGGGCAGCTCACAATCGCGTATAACTCCAGCTCAAGAGGATCGAGCACCCTCTAGATCTGGCCTCCTTGGGCACTGCACTGATGTGCACAAACCAATTCACAGACACACACAAGGATGTCTCTACCTATCATATTTTCACATACTACTAGCTAAACTGTGGATGAGGTTGAGGGTGGGGACTAATACCAGAAGCCTAGTTCTCGCTTTAAACGTTAGAATGATGGAGAATTTCTTCTTTCAGGTCACACTTCTTTGAAGTCTTTTGCCCCTTTACCCCCATCTAGTGGAGTTCAGACTGTACAATGTGTCTTTTTTTCTCTCTTCTGCTTGTGGGGGCAGCCTCTCTTCTGGGCACCATTGTGGCCTTGTTAATCCCACTGGTTGAGAATACTACCAGTACCACGATTTAAAGCCATATTTGAAGCCAACTTTAAGTAAATACTGGCCTGGTAGATGGACGCTGGCCAAGTCCATGCACAGCTTACCAGTTAAATGGCTCCAAGTCATAGTTTGCAGGGGCTTAAGTATTTCCCATGAGGTCCAATCAGGGGCAAGTCTACATCCTGATGTATTTCCTGCCTGTGAACCTCCCACTCACATGTGCTCAAGCACTTCTGGTGCAGATGGATCATATAAACTTTTTTAGGGGAGTGAAAACACGTGGCTTGTTATATCCTATAAAGAGTAGCCTCCAGCATTTCAGGAACTGTCTGTCCTTGGGCAAGGGGCTTGCAGCTCAGAGGCATTTTTGTCTCCTGGATCTCTAAGGCACAGTAATTAAAACTTAAAGTGTACTTGGGCTCTCACAGTCTGTCCTCTTGAGGCTGGATTGCCATTCCCAGGAGACACATGTTGCCATTTATAAGATGCTGGGTAATGATGGGACAATCCTAGAATCCCAGCACTTGAGACGCGGAGGGAAGGAGGGTCAGGAGTTCAAGTTCAAATATCTGGTCAGCCTCAGTTACAGGAGCCCTGTCTCAAAATACCAAAATAAATAAATGAAAACATATAACAGACAGCTAGTTGCTGTCGTTCTGTGGCTCCCCCCTTTCCCGGAGCTTCAGGTGCCCAATACATCGGTGAATACAAGCATCTCTGTGTAAGAAGAGCAGGTCCTCACCCTGTCGACCGAGAAGGCAATTGTTAACTTTATGTACCCTTCCAATATAGCTGCTTAATTGTGAATCTCCATATAAAGATGTGGAGAAGAATAAAGATGTTTCAGAGGCGGAGCAGGAATAAGAGAGACACCCAGGGTGTCGTCAGATTGCTTGGATAGAAAACAAGATTGAGTTTGGGGGTAGCACAGTCCCTGTACAGCTCTGGCATTTCCAAAGGACATGGGATAAAGAATGACCTGAAGGGCTGGGGAGATGGCTCACTGGTTAAGAGCACTGGCTGCTCTCAAGGACCTGAAGAATTCAGTTCCCAGCACCAAGTCCAATGGCTAACACCCACCAGTACCTAGAGCTCTGGGGGGGGGGGGGGGCGTCCCATGGTCTCTTCTGGCTTCCCTGGTGCTTGCACACACACACACACACACACACACACACACACACACACACTCATAATAATGACAAATAATAAAACGAATTCCTTTTCAAAGAAGAATGACCTTGGCTAGCAGACCGTGTACGTGACCTGCGTGACCTGCAAGGTGACCAAGCTAATAGGCAGTCCCAATTTTCCACAGATTGCTTTGCAGAAGTGTTACTCTGAAAAAGGAAAGGTTAAGTCATGATATTTTATTTAATTTTCGTCAAAGCATGAATTAAGTGAGCTCTGGGGACAGTGGCTTCATTCTCTCCTATGCCACTAGTCCTCAGCAGGGCAAGGTTCCTGCGGTTTGAGTGAGCAGGAGGGGCCTTGTGATCCTCCTTCCTGCTGCAGGTTTTCCATTAGGGTCGGGCTTCCTGAAGTAATGACTGGATTAATGGATTTATGGTAGAATTGGCAAAGTTTTCCTCAAATTCTTAGGGATTTCACTGTTACGTTTTATGTACTTCCTTCTTTAAAAAGATTGCATATTTTTAAGTCTTCCAGAATAATCCTTTTCATATAATCCTTAAAAATGACATGTACATACTAATTCTTGTATTAAGGAAGGAGTCACTGCAATAACAACAACGCTAAATTTGAGCATTTCAGAAATGGCCCTTCTTCACATTGGGATAGAGGTAGCGCACAAAGGCTAAGGAAGGGAATTCCATTGCAGGGAGAGAGTGGCTTAGGATGCATCATGTTGGCATTGTATCTGTGTAACCGCGTACTTTTTTTCTGAATGACAAATTTATACACCGCTGTCAGCTCTGAACTGAGGAGCCATTTTCTGTTGACTAATAGGAAGCTGGTAGAGTCCATGACCATCATGATGGGGAGCAGGGCAACAGGCAGGCAGGTGTAATTCTGGAGCAGTGATTGAGCGCTTACATCCTAAGACAACAACTACCAGGCGGGGGGGGGGGTGTGGGGGGGGGTAGGCATCATTCAGCCTCTAACACACCTCCTCCAAGGCCACACCTCTTAATCTGTCCTAAACAGTTTGGCCCTTTCTCTTTCAAACTACTACAAGGTCCCAAGAAATTTAAGCCAGCCTTGAACTCTGTCCTTGAACAACTGTTCCCCCTGCCTCTGCCTCCTGGCTGCTGGGATTATAGACTTACCCCGTCAGGACTAGTTTATGGGAAGCTGGGGATCAAACTCAAAGCTTTGTGTATGGAAGGCAAGTACTCTACCAGCTGGACCACATCCCCAGACCTCAAGACACTTTCTAATTTTTTAAATTATTTGTATTTAATTTATTTATTTATGTGTGTGTCTGGTGTATGTGTGTACACAGGCATGCGTAGGGCAGAAGACAAACGAAAAACTTCTGGATGTTAGTTTTATTCTCTTCTTTTGTCATGAGGATCCTTCCTGGTGCTTGAACTCAGGTCATCAGGCTTAGAGACAACCCCCTTGACCCACTGAGTCATCTCACCAACCTAAGACACATTTTAGAAGTTCGTTTCTCTTTTGGATGGGAAGGGATTCACAGGGCTGGACATCTGTTGAGAAGCTAGAGGCAGCTGGTGACTGCGGGGTGGGGGTGGAGGTAGTGATGAAGATGCTTTCTTCACTGATGAGGCACATGGTAGGTTGCTGAGGTTACAGTGCAGAGCCCAACATCCATATGTGTTCAGACAACACTAACTGTCTCTATCCATCTATCCATCCGTCTGTCTGTCGTCTGTCTGAACTAGGACATAAGGTGGAAAGGACCTAAGAAGAGTTGGAAAGTGAGAGGTGGGTTTGATCAAAACAAGATACATTCATGAAGAGGAAAAACACAAGCAAGCAAACAAACAAACAAGCACAACAACAACAAAAACTAAAGAGAGAAATTCAGCTTCATCAGGAAATTCTCCACTCCAGTTTTTCAAATGAATCTCCTTGTGTCCTGCTGGGAGGACTGGGTAAGGAGTTCTGCCCTTTCCAAAGATCATAACTGGCAGAATTCATTCTGAAGAATTTGCCTAGAGTGCCTGGCGGTGGTGGCACACGCCTGTAATCCCAGCACTCGGGAGGCAGAGGCAGGCGGATCTCGGATCTCGTGAGTTCAAGGCCAGCCTGGTCTACAAGAGCTAGTTCCAGGACAGGAACCAAAAAGCTACAGAGAAACCTTGTCTCGAAAAATCCAAAAAAAAAAAAAAAAAAAAAGAATTTGCCCAGAGTGATCTTTGAAGAAGAATGTTCACAGTGAAAATGAACGGCCCTGGAGCAATGTGTTTATCTTCCCTGCCTCATCCCCAAACAGGATCAGAGGTTGAGTCATAGGAAGATGCTTTGGGTTGGGCCTGACCACACCTGCAAACAACTCTGGAGGTGCTGTACCCTGGCGGCATGCTGTGCTCCAGACACTTAGAGAAGCGCTTGTGGGCAACTGCTCACAGTCCGGCCCTGATGCACTTCTGTCTGTTAAATTCACCACTCTGTAGATAGAGACTGCAGCTCTCTCCCGCTCCCATGTGTATTCTTAAATGTTACTGGCTTTAGATTCATCTTTTTCATTGTAAGTGTATGAGTATTGTGTCTACATGCATGTATGTGTACCATGTGCATGCCTGGAGCTCAAGGAGATCAGAAGAGGGTGTTGGATCCCACGGATCTGGGGTTACAGATGATTTTTGCTGGGACTAGAACTTGGGTTCACTGTAGGAACAGCTAATGTGTGTGTGTGTAAATTTGGATATACATGTGTGTGAGGGTGAGTGTGCCTGCACATGCACGTTCATTCCATTGCAGGCTGAAGAACAACTTCCAGGGTCTTCCTTAGAAATGCCTTCTACTTTCTTTTTGACACAGGCCCTTTCCCTGGCCTGGTGCTTGCCAAGAATGGTAGGCTGGCTAAGGAGCAAACCCGGGACCCTTCTTTTTCCACCTCTCCAGCCCTGGGAACATAAGCCCACACCTCCATGTCCGTCATCTTTACATAGGTTCTGAGGGTCGAACTCAGTCCCTGTGCTTGCACAGCAAGAATGTAACCAAGTGAGCAATTCCTGAAGCCCAGCCCCAAAACTTTGTCCTTTGCTGAACTGTGTTTCATTTCCAACCCTGGCTGTACATCCAAATCATCTGCGAAGTTTTAAAGTAATCCCACTGCCTGAGTCAACCCGTACGTTCTGGCTCACTGGCCTGAGCAAGGCCTTGGCTTCATCTCAGTCTCAAAAAAAAAAAAAAAAAAAAAAAAAAAATCCCTAGATGCCTCTGATGTGGAAGCCAGGATTGAAAACACCGATTCAGCCAAACCCAGTGAGAGTACACATAAGTAGGTGCCCA